ATTCAGTACTCAGAAATCAAGTAGTTATCTCGATTCACCCTTCCAAAAAGGAAGATTCCCTTGACTTTGTATAACGCGGAACATCTTTTCCAAATGATTGAGTCAACGCTCTACTCCCTCAGGTCCTTCATTTTTCCATAAAGTGATTCAGTTTCAACTTATAACAAGTCTCACGAGGAGTCATTTGAGAAGGACGGATAATAGACTGAATCACATTAGCAATAGATTTTCCTAGCTGAGCTAAATCAGGAAAACTAGGCTCATCTGAACGACGTGGCTCTCTACGAGGTGGTATAGTTCTGACAGAAGACACTAGGAAATTCTAAAGATATACAGGACTGCAACCTAGGCTCTGATACCAAACTGACACACCCCGACCGGAGTCGAGACGTGCTGGCCATCACGTCAGAGTGAGGTAGCCATGAGCGCAAAGTGGAAGCGATAAAGAGTAAGAGAAATACTAACAATTTAAAACCAAGCGACTAACAATCCCTATTAAGAAATGATGCTAGTGAGAGTTTAAGTGTATAAATACACTTTCAGAGCAATAAGAAAGTCTAGTTGCAGTCAAGTAGGACGATTACTAAAATACAATACCCGAAGGTGAATCCTACTTCTCGGATTCTGTTAGAACACCGTTGGATTCCTCGTGGCCACCAAACTCTACCTAAGACCTGGAGGGGCGAAAAAACAAAGTTGAGTGAGTCAGTAAAACACATTTACATGAAAACCTTATTTTCCTTTGAATATACTAACCCCTCACCGTAAAACAAGTATATAGTTACTTTCCCAAAAAATAGAATACATAAATATGTATATAAATATATCACTTCAAATCATGCTTTACATAATCATAATAATATGTATGCCATGACAAGATATAACAAAGTAAGTCATTTAGGTAAGAAGAATTTCATAGAAATATGATATGTTAGCTGGAACCCTTGTGGTAGTCTGTATGGCTGAATTCATAGCTCAAAAGTCAATCTAGCCGGAGTCACTACAATGACCTATACGGCAATAAACTACACAAGAGTCGGAACCAAATAAAAAGGTCTGTACGACAATAATGGGTGTAATATAATTATACTCAATATTACTCTCATATAATAGCCAGGCAATAAATCGCTAGTCACCTACGAATCAAAACCATAAATAAGGTCTGTACAACAAGACTGTGTACCTAAATTGGATCCAATGTGAGCATATGGTGCGGGAGGTGACATTATATACAGGCCTGTATCATATCTCTGGCTAACTCACAATCACCCTAGATGCAGTTTTATGAGCTCAACATTATTCAATCACATATCACATCATCGACAATTCACATAACCAAACATACTTATCTGAGCTTACTTGAGCCTCCACAGCACCATGCAACAATATGCATAGTTATGATACTGCATATACTAAAATATGAGGCATGTATGACATGACATTTAAATCACATTTCATTTAAATACGTTTTCTGGAAAAACGTCAAGTATATATATACTGAAAATAACTGTCCACTCACAGATAAGCAGCTGGGTTGTAACCCCACGCCTAGCTTGGCTACGCTCGTCCTCCGGATAGGTCTCACCTATAGGAAAAGTACTGAAATAACGTCATTTTAATGCATATATACTAAACTATGTAATAACTCTTCATACATAGCTCAAATTGGGTATATGAATATACCACAGTGACCTACACAATCTCAGGATCGTCCTCATATTTTTAAAATAATTTTCCAGCCACGCGCCGACGAGTGCACGGCAAGACTCGCGGCCACGCGCAAGAAGCCCTAACGGAAACAGTAACGGCAATTAGGGAATATTCCGTTAAATCCTAACAGATTTCGTTAAACTTAATTGACGGCGTCAGAATATTCCGTCAGAATTGACGGAATATCCTTCGTCTTCAACCTCAGACTCCGGCGACCGTTTCTGTCGCGGAAAACTGGGAATTTTTCTAAATCTTATAACTCAGCCATTTCTCAACCAAAATGCACGAAAGTTGAACCAATTCAAAGCTTATAACATGAGGATCAATTTTATACCAATTTTAAGTCCCAAAGATCGCTGGATCTCACCGAAGAACTATCGAAAGTCCGGCCACCTCTGCAACTCCTCTGTTCTACGCTTCCCGACGTCCAAAAACCTCCAACGAAGTACTCCAAGCCTCGTAAGGACCTCCTTAAGCTCCCTGTGAGCTTAAAATTTCCAAAAACACAAGATTTAACGTTCACATGAACAGTACCTCAAACGGGGTTCGGATTTCACAAGTTTTCGAGGGTTTCCTTACCTGAAAATGGTACCTTTGAACTCATATGGCCTTCACAAACATAATGGTGTGCTTCACACCCTCGATTTGTCATGTTTCAATGGGTTTTGGGTGTAGTCCGTACAAGAGAGAAGAAAAGAGAGAGAGAGTGAATCTGAGAGAGAGTGTGTGTAAGTGAGGGTGAGAGAGAAAAAGTGAGGTGTAGTGTGTGTGTGGTCCAAAAGTCACTAACCAATCACCACCCATTTCCTTTAGTTCCAATTGGTCCCAAAAACTTAGGAATTTAACATATTAGTCCAATTCTAATAGCATGTCACACACAACACATCTTAACGCCTAAGGGCATTTTGGTCTTTTCACATCAACGATAATTGTTTCTCAGGACGGGCTATCACAGTCAGTGTAATTAACCCAAAAGCTATTTCAATTTTTTTCTAATCTTATATGGTTACATTATTTTATGTTGATTTGAGAATGTATCCATGTCAAGTTTAGTCTAAAAAATTTACAAATTTTATTAAGTCTAATATCTCTTCTTTTTTTTTTTTTTTTTGGTGGTTTTGAAGAATGCACCCAAGTTTAGCTACAATAATTTTTTTGTTAATTTTGATGAATGTACCCATTTTTATATATATGTAAAATATATTGGAGAGTATAGTTTATATTTTAATATTTTTAATCCCACAAAATATGGATTTTATTTAAAATCTTAATAATATAAACAACTATAAATTTTAAATTTTAATATAATAAATATAGTAACCTATATATATATATATATATATATTGCTAGTTTCTTATTCTGTTTCCTTTTTACTTTTGGATGAGCATCATACATGTCGATAGAACCAAATCCATCCCCTTTTTCACAAGAAAAAAAAACTGAAAATTTTAAAATGCACAGATCATCGATGTGATGCATTACACGTTTCATTTTTGCTTATGCAGTAAATAAATGTTTTGGTGGCGTTTGTTAGTGTCAGTTCAAATTGAACTTTCCATTCAAATCTCTTAGAATTTAGACTAACTAATACATTATTACCATAGTAGTTAACATGATTTCATGCTTAACGTGTTTCATGCTCCATTATTCTCAATGGCACCCATATCATATCAAACTTTTATGTATACAACGATTGATTGACACTAGAAGGAGAACTAAATTGGCTGAGACATCGCCATCCACGAGATACCATATCAAACATTATATTTGAAAATTCCAACTCCAATAGTTTGGTCTACTCCAATAGTTTGGTCTAGTCCAGGTCTACCAACTTCGTTCTTTCTATTTTCCTTTTCAATTTTCAAGTATTAAAATTGTCCATATGTTGTAATATAATATATGAATGGTATTGCTTTGCCTATAAACCAAATGATGAAAAGCAGGAGCACCGAAAGCTCCTAGTGGAAAGACATCTTTTAGCTGGACATCTTTATTTCCATTCCTTTTTGAGTGGACAACTATCTCCTTATCTTCTTTTAGTAGACAGATCCTAGTGGCCAACCTAATTTCCACATCTGTGTGCTATAATTGAGTGCATTGACTATTTGGATAGTACTGATTTGCTGAATATAACTTGTCATCTATTTAGGAACTGGATGATCTCCTGAGTTTTGAGTTTAGGATAAAGATCCTTCTGAGCAGCTCATCCAAGCCGTTGAAATTTGATCTAATAACTCTAAATAGGGGACCCTCTAAAAGCTATAATAATTACAGTCGTTTGATCAAGTTTGAACGGCCCGGATGGACTGCTCAGGAGAATTCTCATCCTGAGCTTAGGAGAGGATCCAGTTCCATCTATGGATAGTGCATTGACTATTTGGAAATATAGTACTGACTTGCTGATCAGAAGTTGTTATCTTTTTAGTTTTCAATTATCATCAAAGAAGCACATCGTTGGGTAAAATCTGTTCATGTTTGGCTATAAAATAAGGAAAACTAATGAAAATGACTTTAAAACTTTGAGTTTTAATGATAAGGACAAAATAAAGGGTAAAGTGAATAGTACAAGGATTGACTTTTTAGTGTAAAAATGTGGTTTTTCGTTATAGTGAACAGTACCAGGTGCTTTTCGTTAAAGTTCCCTATAAAATATAGTACTGACTTGCTGATCAGAAGTTGTTATCTTTTTAGTTTTCAATTATCATCAAAGAAGCACATCGTTGAGTAAAATCTGGTCATGCTTGGCTATAAAATATAGTACTGACTTGCTGATCAAAAGTTGTTATCTTTTTAGTTTTCAATTATCATCAAAGAAGCACATCGTTGAGTAAAATCTGGTCATGCTTGGCTATAAGTTTCCATTCAAGAGTAATCTCATTGTGATACAAAGAGAGAAGCAGACATTCAAACAAAAAAGCTAAAAAAATATGGAAAGATTCGAGTACAAAAGTGAACTAGCCAAATAGAAATTAGTGTGAAGAAGCATGAAAGTTACCTATTAAGTGAATTTGAATAATTTTGGGGAAAAATTATCATTTTTAAGTCCCAACTTTGTGCACAAGCAATCCTATAAATCAGATTTAGCTTTGTCTCAAATATGCATAAAGTTATTGGGATACATGTGGTAAATTTTGAGTAGAGCTTTGATAAGAGTTATATATCCCTGATAGTGTATTTATAGGCTAAGAAGAGGATGTAGTGGTAGGTGAATGTGTTGGGTGGTTGAAATGAGTGGATGTAGTGGTAAGTGAATGTGTTGAGTGATTGTAATGAGTGGATGTGTTGGTGAAATGAGTAGATGTAGTGGTAGGTGAATGTGTTGGGTGGTTGTAATGAGTGGATGTGTTGGGTGAAATGAGTGGATGTAGTGGTAGGTGAATGTGTTGGGTGAAATGGCAACACCTCCTTTTCTACTGATGCTACAGGTACAAGAAATCATGACTCAATTTTGAATCTCTGTGCAAGTGCATTTTAGCCACATCACCAATAACTACTACTGCACTTTAGGTACAATTAAACAACCATCATTCACCAATTCATGTGAAAAACCTATGTAAATTGTATATAGTTGGGATTTAAAAATCCACCACTTTGTTTGTACATAGGCTTTTAATGTAAATTCAATAGAATGTAGATGCAACTAAAAGACTTATTCTTTGATTAGTTTCTGAAGAATTTAATAACCAGTTTGTTAAATTGTGGTTACGGATTCAAAACCTGCAGCGGAGCGCTACATTTTTGCTAGTTTCAACTAAACTGGAAGAGATTGGCCCTTCTACCTACAATTATCACGCTGGAATAGAAATGCTGTAAACCTCGTAATGACCATTGGATTGCCATGCTAGTCAGACTGCTTGGTAGTGATTCCATTTGAATGGCTTGACAGTCTGGACGTTTTCTTCATAAAGAGTGTTTGGGTAACTTCCTTTCCTCTCTCTCTCACTCTTGCTTGCCTAATTGGATCCTCAGGTGCAATTCAATTGATCTCATTCATCTTACTCGCTTGCTAAAAGGAAAAGAGAGATGGAGTTCATTGGGTTCTTTCAAGTTTTCATCATCGTCACCGCCATCATTACTCTGTTGTACACGTGCTTCAGATCATTAAAATTTTCTTGTTGGCCTTTTTATACTTCTTTTTCTTCTTCTGCGGACGACGACGATGATGATATCCCAGCCCCTCGAGAAAAGTATGATGGTGATGATATCCCACCCCCAAAGTATGATGTGTTTATTAGTTTCAGAGGTGAGGACACCCGCACTACTATTACTAGCCATCTTCACCGTGCCTTACTCCAGAAGAAAATTGAAACCTACATAGATAACAGACTTGTGAGCGGGGGTGAAATTGCACCTGCCCTTCTAGAAGCAATCGAGAAATCTACGCTTTCCTTGGTCATTTTCTCACAAAACTATGCATCTTCCACCTGGTGTTTGGATGAACTAGCACATATACTACACTGCAGGGAAAAATATGGCCAGTTGGTTATACCTATTTTTTACGGCACCGATCCATCAACGGTACGAAAACAAAAGGGGAGTTATGAAGTTGCATTTGCTCAACTTGAAAAACGCTTCAAGGGCAATATCGGCAAGGTGAACGTGTGGAGGGATGCTTTGACGACTGCAGCTAATCTATCTGGCTTCTCAAACAAAACAGGGTAAATAATTCTATAACTTGTAGTGCTTGTTCAAAAAAAAAAAGAAAAAATTCTATAACTTGTAGTGATTTCTACTCATGAAAATTGAACGAATACAGGATTAATTAACGAATGCCTATTACTAACTATTAGTTGTCCATCATATATTTGCCAGGACGGAGGCCGATTTAGTTACGGAAGTTGTAAACGAAATTTGGAGCCAGTTGAATAGAAAATCGTCAAGTGTTTTAAAGGGCCTTGTTGGAATGGAAAGACGCATTGAACAAATCGAGTCATCATTATGCATAGATTCACTTGACGTATACGGTGTAGGTATTTGGGGCATGGGTGGCATTGGCAAGACCACCCTTGCTGATGCTGTATTTCATCGACTCTCTTCTAAATTTGAAGCTTCTTGTTTTCTTGGAAATGTTAGGGAGAAATCAGCAAAAGAAGATGGACTAGTTCGCCTGCGAAACACACTTCTTTGTGAGATATTAAAGGAAAATGATCTAAACATCGGCACTCCGACTATAGGATTAGATCATGTTAGAAAGAGGATGCGAGGTACGAAGGTCCTCATTGTTCTTGATGATGTAAATGATTCAAACCAAATAAATTTTCTTGCTGGAGTTCCTGACCAGTTCGGCCCCGGAAGTAGAATAATTATAACAACTAGAGATAAGAGCGTACTTCAGAAAAGTGTTGAACAGAATAAGATATACGAGGTTCAGGAATTAAATTCTGATGAAGCTTTTCAACTTCTTCATTCGAGTGCTTTTGGAAATAACATTTCTAGAGTCGATTGTGCAGAGTTGTCAAAAATTGTGGTAGATTATTGTGGAGGGATTCCATTAGCTCTTCAAAGTTTGGGTTCCTCATTCCTTCACTGTGAGAGCAAAGAAGATTGGCTGGATGAATGGAAAGAATTTCCGAGAGAAAAGATCTGGGAAGTGTTGAGATCAAGTTATGATGGATTAAAAGAAATTGAGAAGGAGATATTTCTTGATATAGCATGTTTTTATCAAGGGAAAGATGTGTACATTGTAAAAGAACTGCTAGATATACTTGGCTTTCGTGCTTCGGTAATTAATGTTCTGATTGATAAGTCTCTCATATCAATTTCAACAAGTAACAGCCTGCAGATGCATAATTTGTTACAAGAAATGGGTAGGGCAATTGTTCACAAACAATGTAATGAAGAGCCCGAAAAATGCAGTAGGTTATTTGTTGATGAGGATTTCAATCGGGAATTGAAAACTAATACGGTAAGATCTCCGAATGCATTCACTTCCATTTAAATTTTCTGTATATTGAATTGTATTCACTTTTATACTTTGTTCTTTATTTCTCAGGGAAGTGCAATGCTACAAGCCATTTTCTTTAACAGGTCTGCGAATCATGCAGACTTTGCAAAGAAGTATGATCTAAGGTTGCTATACGTTTATAACTCCAGCCGTAACAAGTACTGCAAAGTAAAAGTTTCTCTTCCCGATTCTCTAGCCTATCTTGACTGGGAGGGATACCCTTTCAACTCTTTGCCATCAAAACTTAGTCCGGAAAATCTTGTTGAGATTCAAATGCGGAACAGCCAAGTTGAGCAACTTGAAGGCCAGGTATGTCTATGCTTATTTAACTTCTTACGTTAATGTAGTGTAGAAAGTTAATTTGATCAGGCTAAGTTATTAATTCTTGCAATTTATTGTTGATTTGTTGCAGAATCTCATAAACTTAAGAGTGATGGATCTTGGTCTGTCCAAGCATCTGATGGAAGTTCCAGATCTCTCCCAAAGTCCAAACATCGAGCATATAAATTTGAGTGGAACCGCAATTAAAAGCGTACCTGCAAGCATTGGTAATTTGAAATCTCTTGAGGAACTTGATCTGAGTGGAACTGCGATCACGTGCCTACCTGCAAGCATCAAAGAAGCTTCTCGGCTGATTTGTCTGCGGCTAACCAATTGCAGGAGCCTTGAATCTTTACCAGAGCTCCCAGGGGTACGTTGGCTTCAAGCACATGGCTGCACATCACTCAAGAAAGTGTTGAGCTCAAAGACTGCCCTTACATTAGGTTGGGATGAATATAAAAATTCTCAAGGACTTCAAGAGCAACTTACATTTTCAAATTGCATAGGAATGGGATGGGATGCTTGGTGTGATATATTGACTGATTCGCAGATTAGAATTGTGCGAATGGCAATTGCATTGTCAAAGCACTTTAAACAAGAAGATATTGAAGTAGCATCTCATCTTGAATTTGAAGACGAAAGTAAAGTACGTCTCCCTCTCTCTCTCTCTGTGTTGTTAAATTGAATAACTCAGGTTCTCTGCACCCTAACACATCTATTGATGAACAGGAGTATGTTTTTAGATCTCCATTCTGCGTTGTATGTTCTGGAAATATAATTCCAAGATGGTTCCCGTATGAAGTTCATAAATCGGTACTACAGATCAAACTTGGTCCAAACTTCTTTAGCACTGATTTTTTGGGTTTCGCCTATTCGGTTGTTGTTGCATTCAAGAATTATAATGTTGGAGGGAGTTTGAGGCTTGGATGTAAAATCAATTTCAAAGGCCGTGGTGATCATTGTATCTATCATCGGAGTTGCATGGTTGCCGAATATGGAGAAATCAATGAGTGCAAGTTTGATGAGCCTCACTCGTTCGTCTGGTTTAGCACCCTTGACCATGTAAAGCAAGGAAGCTACAATGGCGTCACCGAGGCCATATTTGACTTCTACCCAATAGTAGATGATCTTCCTCATGGCGGAGCCATTGATTGTTCCAAGATTGAGGTGACAATGTGTGGGGTCTACCCAATGTATGCTAGATATATGTGGTTTTCGTACAGCATGAATCGGCAGTTCTGAGTGATAAGTCTCTCATATCAATTTCAACAAATAACTGCTTGGAGATGCATAACTTGTTACAAGCAATGGGTATCAGGCCGAGCTACCATCTGTAGAGCTTACTGTATATTTTGTTTTTTCCCCGTGAGATTTTTTCCCCCGTGATTTTGTTTTGTGTCCTGTACGTTTACTGTATATTTTGTGTTTACCCGATCCACATGCAGTGCATGAAATCAAAATATAATCTCTAAATAATCACCGATTTCTTTTTGGAATGTAAATTTCTTCGAGTTTCAACAATTAGTGGATCATGGCCGAAGGGTGTTAAGACTGATGAACTGGCATTGTTTATACTAGATGGTTGAAAAGGGCTTTGAAGCATTAGCAGCAATAGATCAATCTTGGGAAAGTTTTACGGCCGAACAATCTGAGGAGAATGAATCAAATGAAAAGTGGGTATCAGGCCGAGCTACCATCTGTAGAGCTTTCTCTTCTCTCTTGCAACAGGCTTGGCTTGCACCAGTGCATCACTTGGTTAGTTTTTATTTTCTAGTAAATTTTGCAGAAAAACGAAGGCATGTACTTTTTTTTTGTGAGATACTATTTCATATTTAATATGCTATCTGAAGTTATTGTCTTTAATTGGAGCCATTAAATACTAGGTTCTTAAGACTCCCAACTTCTTGTGGGTCTGTACTTTAGACATCAAATACCTCTGTGCGCTAATTTTTAATCATTTTCACTATATACATATGGAATTAAGGTTGTTACATTGTTTTCTCTGTTTTTAATCAGGGACGGGATGTGAAACCCCGTCCCAAATTTAGTGTATTTTCATATTAATGTACTTATCTCCACGAACGTGTGGGCACGAACGGATTCGAATTTGGAGTTATAACAAAAAATTTATGTTTTCGAAACGTCGAACATTTTTCGGATATTCCACGTTTCGTCTCTAGTGACCTTTAAATTGTGAGCCACTTGGACCCAAAACCACGAGAGTTGTTCTTCAAGATGGAAAAAACATCTTCAACCAAGTTTGAATAAATGGCATCAAGCAGTGGTTGTGATCGAAAGCAGACATGAAAGTGAAGCCAATTACTACGACGAAGTAAGTGTTTTCATAAATTAATTTCACAACTCAATATTAATTTTACAAATTAATTTCATAAATTAATTTCACAAGTTAATATTAATTTCATAAATTAATTTCACAAGTTAATCTTAATTTCATAAATTAATTTCACAAGTTAATCTTAATTTCATAAATTAGTTCCCTTTAATTTTTATAATTATATTTTCTAGGTACGCCAAGCGGAGAATTTCATAAATTAGTTCCCTTTAATTTTTATAATTATATTTTCTAGGTACGCCAAGCGGAGGAATTGTATATGGAGGAAATGAAAAAACCCTTTAATCATCACGGTTGTTGGGAATTTTGTAAATGGTGAGTGTTATTTCAAGATCCACCCCAAGAAACATTTGATCCTCCTCACCAAGAAACTCCTATCATTCAAGAAACAAGGGATGAAACTCCATCTCCGAGTGAATCTTCCATCCCTAGGGCTATGGGATGAAACAAGGCCCAAAAATTGAAGGAAAATGGCAAGGCAATGGATGATTTAGCCTATCAACAGGAAGTAGGGTTCTCATTGCGATTATTGACGGAGCAAAATGCTATTGCCGCAGAAGAAATGAACCATAGGCACGAAGAACGGGCAAAACAAATACAAAAAGAGATGGATGATAGGAACATGCAAAGGAACACTTTGGATTACACTCCAATGAGTAAGGCATATTTTGATAGGAAAAAGAGGGAAATTATGGCCCAACGGGAGTTGATTACATCCGGCTATACTCCTACAATGGCAGATGAAGATGATGATTATAGTCTTTAAATTGAATTTGTTGTAGTCTTTAATCTTTAATATTTAAGTTGGTAGTTTTTAAAATTAAGTTGTAGCTTTTAAATTTAAGTTGGTGTATTCTTTAATTTGAAGTTGTAGTCTTTAAATTTAAGTTGTAGTTTTCAAATTTAAGTTGTTGTAGTGACACACTCCAACCCGAAATGTTCACTAGAACTCTGAATCGAGCTGTGCTGGCCGACACCTGGAAGGTGATGAAGTCATAAAGTGTAGTGATATGGAAAATGTGAATAAATTTAAACCTAAAAGTGCCTAAATACAAGAGTGTGCGGTTAGCAGAATGAACTCATTTCACGCGTGATGTCAGAGTATAAGTACAGTACAGTAAGATAGGGTGAGAATTATATCATCAAAGGTAATCGTCTACATCGAGATTTGCCAAAGAATCCTCGTCAACCCGAGAGCACAGCTACTAAAACCTGGAAGGGTGAAAAACAAGGGTTAGTGGGCCTGAAAATAAAGTTTCATAAAAACCTTTCTGAAAACATCATAACCCCTCACTGTAAAACAAGTATGGTTTCCATAATATACTTACTACGTATAGTATAAAGCTACTTACCGTAGCCTGCAAAATTTTAAGAATTCATTATGGCACAATATTTCAACAGTAATATAAGTAAAAACAAGTGCTTAACAACCTATGATAGCACACCAATCGGAGTCGCCTAATGCAACTTGTACGATTGAACTAATTTGCTCATCCATCTATGCTAACACACGAGTCGGAGTCACATAATGTGACCTGTACGACAGGACTAGGTGTAATAATATACGCTCTAGTGCTACAATCACGTAAAGACTAGCGATATTCGTTGTCACATATGAGTCGAAATTGCCTATTGCAATCTGTACGCAGGACTAGCACCTACTTGGATCCAAGGTGAGTGTGCGGTGCTGATGTGAACAACACGTGAAAAACTAGCTTGGCCCTGGGCTGAGCACTAACACCTGGGTGTAGCAATGATGAGCAGACTATATGAATATAAGCATGCCATAACCATTCAATAATTTTTAATCAACATACTATCATTCATAGCCATAAACATAATTATGACATTAATAATCATACCATACATGTGCATCCCGTAGGATATAGCATATTTCATAAGTTTTGTCATTTCGCTAATTCTTATAAACTTTAGTGAAATCCAGGCGTACGTAAGGAATTCTTTTTCAATTTCATAAATGGAAACTATCAATCACATATATATATATATATATACACACTATACTATACTATAAAAAGGAAAAAACCCATTCACCTAGAGTCCGCACTACAACTCCATAGCACGAATATCAAGGTGTCAAGAACGATCGTCCCCGAGAATAATTATAAAATCACATCTTAGAATTATTAACGATAGAACACGTAACTTGCATAAAACACAACCTCAAGGACGTTCTAGAATGATTTGAAACCTATTGACCAAAAATCAATCGTCAGTCAAAGGTCGACGGTAGGGTCCACAACCCTACGTAACTCGATCCGGAAGATCCGCTGTGACGACCCGTCCCTAATTTTCCTATGTAATTTCTCCCCGCGTATGTGTATTGACGACTATGCCTTACTGGCAAGTGACGTGGACTTATTCTTATCGCTTTCCATTTTATTTCTCGATATCGCATTTAAATTGTACACTCTAGTACGAGTAGACGTAGATTTTAAAGTGTAAAAAATATCTACTTCGGATAGATTTCGATTTCCTTTTACTGTAGGAAATCTAGAAATCTATCCCTTGGATTCCTTTTAAACCCATCCCGTGCACTCTCTGCATCACTCCACTTTCAGCTATTCCATCCCATTTTTTCTGTATGTTCTGTCCCCCTCTATCAGAAAAAGCAAAGAAAATTTGAAAACCTCTCTCTTCTTCCTCTCTCTCCCGTGAGCTCTCTCTCCCTCTGTAACCCCATGAGCAAGCTCCAAAACTCATAGATCGAACAAACAAACTACATCATCATGCTCATCTCAGCCCCACGATCACAACCATACCCCTGGTTCCCGTGTTGACCGAGTTTTGAACGTCCAACTCGGAAGGTCCGACTCGGGGAGTTCGATACTACGGTTTTCAAGCCATGCATGGCTAAGGTAAGCCTTAAGAAACCCTTAGAACCTTCATTTCACTTCTATGGGTTGTTATTGATCATTTGTTTGTGTTTTGAACGTGTGGTTTTACCCAGAAACTCGAGAAGAAGGAGAACCCGAAGTTTTTCGTACAAGAACCAGGGTCATTTAGTCATTTTCAAACCATTTTTCTGGTCAACCTCGACCACAACTGGACTTCTTCTAGGTACAAACTTTTTCTCTACATTCCTAACTTCAAAATGGCTTTTGAATCACTGAGTTTGGTTAAGTAACGAGTTAGAAATCAACTCTGGAAGTTGGGAAGAAAATTTTAGTTTTCTGGAAAATTTCAGCCGTGGTCGTTTGGCCACTTTCAGACCAACTTTCTGAACAACACGAACTATATTCGAACTTTCTGTAAATTGGGATCGGTAGATCACATTCCTAGCTTTAATTTGGCTTTTGTAGAAGTGAATTTGGTTGAGAATCGAGCTCGTTATGGGCTCTGGAAGTTGACCCAAAAATCTGCAAAACTACAGATTTTCACGAAGAATGTGAGTACAGTGTACTCGCGGGGGCGCGTGGGCGCGCGTGGACCGCCACTTTAGACGGCGCGTGGTTGGTACGTACGCGTTCATGTCGTCGAGTAGATCGATTTCATATATTTATACCCTAGGTTTGAGCAAACTATGGGCGTTTTATTTAGGTTTCTGTTATGTGCTTTAATTAATGTTATTTAGTTATTTCACATATAGGGGAAACTTATTCCGAGGATTTTCGAGGCCAAGCTAGGCTCGGGGGCTACGACCCAGTGACGTACTTGTGAGTGGGCAGTTGCTTTATACCTATATATATATTTATAGTTTCCATAAATGCATTTTTATGTCACATTTACACCTACATTGCCTAGTATCATTATTGTGATATAAATTGTGATAAATGCTGCTATATGGTTGTGATATTACTGTCATGGCATGCATACGTGCTTGTGTACATGCTCATCTTGCTGCACTAGGTGTTAGTACTCACCCTATGGCCAGGGCCAGTCCTTTACATGTATGTTCACATCCGCATCGTTTGCTCACCTTAGATCCAAGTTTAGGTGCCAGTCTTATCGGGTAGATTGCATTAGGTGATCCAACTTGTATGTGATGTGCTTTTGCACCAGTTTCACGTGATCGTAGTACTAGAGCATATTGATTACACCCAGTCCTGTTCGTGTCAGAAACCATCTGTTCGAACTTGTGTGTCAGCTTAGATGGATGAGCACTTAGTTATATTGATTATCACATGATTATTATTGTGGCATATGATACATCATTTACTTGGCATATTTCTGGTTATATGGCTGATATATTGGATTTTCATACTTACGTAGTATGTTTTGAGGAAACTATACTTGTTTTACGGTGAGGGGTTAGTATATTCAAAGATAAAGGTTTTCTTATAAGCATTGTTTTACTGACCCACTCAACTTTGTTTTTCGCCCCTCCAGGACCTAGATAGCTGTACTCTCTGTGGCACTCGAGGAATCACGGCAGTTCTAACATTTCCTTTTGTTTAGACATATGAACTTATCACTACTATGTAATAAGTGTACTTTGGTTGCCTTGACTACTCTTTCGTAGTCTCACTGTCTATTACGCTCTGAATAATTGCAATGGGTTCAACCCACGAATTGCGCACTCTTTCACTGTTTAGTCCTAATTAGTTTTAATTTTAT